TGAAGTCCCCCAGCAGGACAAGAGCCTGAGAGCGCGAAGCCTCCCAGAGCTGGAGGAAGAACGCTTCGTCAGTCGGCTCCCCTTGATTTGGTGGCCTGTAGTAGACACCAACCACCAGGTTCCCTTTGTTGCCTCTTCCTCCGATTTTTACCCATAAGCTTTCGACCTGCTCGTGGCTATTCTTCAGGGTCAGCTCTTCACACTGTAACGATTTCTTGATGGTCCTTCTACCTGAAGAAAAAATCTTGAAAGCACATTGTAGGCAGCCCTGGAAGGGGCAACAAGTATCCTTAGAGAGAGGAATGAGGACATAGGCTAGGGTAGTTTGGTCTGTAAAAGAGAGCTGAGACAGGTACTGTGGTATAGGGAGAACAACCATTTGCAACGGTGAGCTAGGGAATATCTTTTCAATGTGTGCTCCAGCACAGGAATTAAAGGCCAGCAGATAGAGCTGGCATGCCCAGAGCAAGCAAGAGGAGATCGCTCTGGCTGAAAAAAGCTCATTAGTCTTTGCAGGGAGTTAATGGGTGCCTCTCTGTTCAGCTCAGGCTACTGCTTTCAAACTTTTGTAGTCGTTGAATCTCAGTGGGGTGTTGATAACATGAAACAAATGCATAAAAGTCTTCTCTGGGATATAATAATTTTGTTGTTTCATGTATGACAGGGTGGTTCTTGCAATAAATGTTTTATCACCTTGGTTTTTGAGAAGTGGGGAAAAATATTGGGAAAACAGGGCAAATTCTGCAAAACAAATAGGAGGAAGCTGTTCACGCTCAAAGGACAGGAGTGTTAAATTTTTTTAATTACCTGAAATACATTTTAATGTGTGAGAGACCGTTCTTTCAAAGTCTAGCCTGGAAAATTTTCTGGTTTTAATTTTAATATGTTAATTTTGAATTTATTACAGTGGCGAGCAGTCACGTTCATGTCCTTTTTGTTTTAAAACAGCATTAGTGACAGCAGTAGCTCACAAGGTTTATCCCAACCTTCCACACAGACGACACAGTACTTGCGAGCTGACACGCCAAACAACGCAACGCCAGTTACCAGTAAGTGTTAATCTAATTACAGGCCCTTGACACAGACCCTCTTGGACACATCTGGAGTATTTGAGGTTCACCTATTAGTCTTTTCATCGTGTTGCTGCAAAGGAAATGAATGGGGAAAAAGTGTTGTAAGGATGATCATTCATTATTTCTTTTTGTTTTACAGCTTTGCTTGAAAGGATGTTAAATAGTTGAAAAGAGCAGTGAATTAAAAGGAAGGGTGGCAGTGTTTATATACTCTGTGGTAGACTGATACTAGCAATGTTTTGTGTTAATTCTGTAATTACTGAAGGTATTTGTTATCTGCAGAGTGTTTCCTCCTCCAATTATTGTCCGTCTTCTCTAGTCTTCTATATCCCATGTAGCATCACTCCAGGGAAGGGGCTGGTCAGACTGTAGGGAAGCTGGGCAGTGTAGGGACACACTTGGTGTGCAAGTTCCCTGGCGGTTCAGTCTCAGCTAAGGTTGGACTGACCATGAGCATTTGCTTTTTCCCCTGTGCTGGCACTTATGCTGCTAGGCTGCAAGATGACTCAGGGAGCCAAGTCAGCCAAAAAAATTACTTCTTTTGTAGAGTGTTGGGGTTTTGGTTGACTCAGCTCCCTGAATCATCTTGCAGCCTAGCTGATGGTGAGCACCAAGGTTGGTGTGGAGGCTACAGGTCTACATGACTGAACATTGGAAGAAGGCAGGACTTAACCCAAACTCAATTTGCTTAAGCTACTGCTGCAGAGCTGGCTTTTAAAGATCTAAAGTGAGGTAAGGGCTTAAATTACAAAGTGAAAAAAATGGGTGAGCCTGGCCAGACGAACAAACTGTATCTCTGTTAAACTTCAGTTGCTGTTTTTCTCAATGGAGTGGGAACTGCCAAGCTGAAATAGTACCCTGGAGCTCCTGACCTTTTCAGAAAGGATAAATTAAATGGCTCCTGTTTGCATCTACTGCTGCCAGTGATTTTGTCTTCTGTAATGCTCAATAGTTTTATATTAATTGCCTGAAGAGACTTTGTTCAGCAGTCTAATCAGTAGAAATGTCAATGTAGCTATGTCATTTAGAGCTTGGTAAAAATAATGATTAATGACTTGATGTTAATTTTTTTTTTTAAAGCAGCTAATAAGACCCAAAAGTCTCTCCTGATTGCACTTAGTGCTGCAGACCATCCCAATTCATGAGGGAGCACAAATGTTGTGATTACTGTTCAGCCCTACTGTGTTTCCTTGTTTCTTTCCAGGTGTGGAAGCAGGTGCTTACCTAAGATTGAACTCCCACAGCTTTGGGAAAGCTTTGGCTTTCTTCTAAATTGTACTATATGTCCTTTAAAAAAAAGGGGGGGATCTTTTTTGCAGTCTGAGTCCATCTTTCCCTTGCAAAAAAACTACCTTTAAAATTTATTTAGTAGAAGAATTAATGAAAAAAAAAATTTCCTTTCCACAGAGTTTGGAAGAGACTTTAGCATGCAACTAAATCTTGAGCTGGTTTTCCCTCTTGCCACCCAGAGTGTCTCCCCAGCCTTTTTGTTTTGCATCTCTTACCCCAGATCACATTCTGCTGTTGATGTCCTGCCAACTTCAGGCTTTTAGGTTGGCCCTTTAAGTGACTCTGTTTGGTTAATTCAAATATGACCCCGTGAAACTCATTACTGAGCCTCTGGCAAAAGGGGAGAGTAGGCCTTGTCATGAAGGTGGCCTACAAACCAAGCCCTCAGTGATGATTAAACTCTCCTCTTCTTGGCGAATGTGGTAGCTGCTGTGCCTAAATGGGACTGGTTTGCGGTGTTCAGCTGGTAGTGTTTCAGAACGTCTCTTACCTGTTTTGAGACACCCCTTGTAGCACAGGGGAGGACAAGGAACATGAGAAGAAGAAAGGTTGGATGCACGAAATAAATAGGAATAACATTCTTAGTCCTTCTACAATCTAAAAAAAACCCCACCTTGTTTTCAGTAATGTTTAAATTAAAAAAAACCAACCACATCATCATCAAAGTAATTCTCAGGATTTTTCTCTAGTGATTCCTAAACTTGTACAAAAATATTCAGACCTTTCTGATTGTATTAGTGTACCTAGATACCTAAAAATGCCAGAAGAGGGCACTCGTAGTTTTGGTTATGGCCTTTTGGGGTAAGGCATCTTCCTCGCTCTGACAAGTCTCTGACAGTCGGACCGACAGTCGGATCTCTCGTTTCCTTGTTGTCAGGCAGGTGCAGTGTCCTGTTAGTCAGCTTCAGTACGTAAGCAGGAGTTCTGTTTGCTTGCTGTTAATAATGAGACTTGATTGCATGACACTCTGTAGAATTCCTGTGTGATTATTTTTTTTTTTGTCCTGTAGATTACTACATTCACATGACTTCTCTTGTGTTTGCTGTTTAATGCTATAATCTTTAAGATTAATATATAATCCTTTAAAGGTCGTGCTGCTTGCATGTCTTTATACCTGTAGGTGGTGCTGAGGTGAAGCAATGTGCTTGACTTCTCATTATAAGGGTATTTATATTGGTTTGTTTGGCTCTGCTGGCTCCTCAGGTTATCCCACGTTACGGATAGAGAAGAATGATCTTAAAAGTGTCACTCTAATGGAAGCAAAAGCTAAAGTGAAGGACATAGCCATCTCCAGGGAGAGGATAACTCTAAAAGACGTGCTTCAAGAAGGTATTTACAGGACTCGGACACTTGTTGACTACAACGTGGTGTATATACATATATCTTAATAGCTAGATTTTTCTCAAATTAATCATGGATGACGTTTCTGATCTTCATAACTTTGGTGAAGAATAATGATGAATGATGTTTGCATTTGGGGTGGGGGGTGGGTGGGGAGAATTGCAGAATTCATTGGAACACGGGAGCGACTAATCATGCTCAGTTAATTATTCAGCTTGTCTGTCTTCATTATCTGGCCCTTTAAATACAGGTAAGGGTTAAATGGCTAAGAAATGAGATAATCAGTTGGGCCCCTAAATGGCAAAGTAACTCACTTTTGTAAGTTACTGCAGGAGAGCTTCTCTTAACAACAACAAAAAAAGGCAAAACAAAGAACCCAAAGCCCAGAAAAACCTCAATCGTCTAAACTTATCTCAATTTAATAGCTTCTGATTTGGAAATCTAATCAGCAGATGCAACATTTACAGCTCTGATATGAAAAATTCAGAGATTATCTGATCCTTTTTTCTTGTTCAGTGTTTGCTTTGGAAATGTTTGCAAAACACTCATGGGTTCTTGATACTGAATTTGGGAAATAAATATTTAGGGGGGTTTTGTCATTAATCTTTACTGCTGCAACTTCAAGTCTGTGCTCCCTGAGCCTCATGAGAAACCAAACTTCCCAAAGCTGGAGATCAGAGATACTCATCCTTTGGAGGTAGAACTGCTAAATCCTTTGCGTTACTGTCTGAAAAACAATGGGAGGATGCTAACACTCCCCATTTAATGTATGCCTCTCTGAGGAGGCAGCTTTGTGCTCGACTCCAATGTTGATTCTGCAAAAAGCTCCCCTCGCATGCAGGACGTGCTTTGTGTTCCTTTGTACTGTCTATTTCCTGTAGCTGTGGTGGTAGGAGTCATCCGATGACTAGAACTGACTCAGTACCATGGCCACGCTTCAGATGCTTAGCACCAAGCAACAGAGCTGCCCTGTTCTGTGAGATGCGGCTTAAATGGCTGTTGAAGGCAATGTGGACCCAGTTAATACTGGGATATTGTTTCTTGGCCTCCAGTTGGTATTTGAGTCCGTCAAAACCTTCAAAAGTTAGTCAGAGGACTAGCAGGCAGATCCTGATGAACAATCATCAGTTTTAGTTCAGGATTGTAGCAGAGTTGAGCCTCTCATCTAAGAACAAATGAGCTTCAGAGGGGAAGAAGCGAATAATAGAAATGGTTGCATCAAATTTTCAAGAATTCCGAAGTGCTGCAAATGGAACTTAAAGATATTTTAAAAGTCTTGGCCAGCAATTTATTATAAACTTCAAGTAGGTTCCATAACTTAACCTACTTAACATTTTATAAATTTAGGAGATTGTGGCTCTGCTGTGGTGGAACCAGTTGGAAAATGCAAAGCACCAGGGTTTGAGAGTGCGCAAAGGAAGGGCCCTTTTGTATTGCTGGGCTCGTGCAGCACCTGATTCTGAACCTGCATTGAGCTCACATTGTGCTAGCTGTTAGACAGAAATGTAGGTGTCTTTAAAATGGAATAGCTATGCTTTAGCAAGTGGAGCAGATGTTAACAGTGAGAGGACCTTTACCATTTTCTGGTGAAGCAGGGAAATGACTTAGATGTCCAGTCTGGAATATAACCAGCATAACCTGCAGAAAGCCCAGAGAAGAGCGAGGCGGAAATAGGATGTTCACAGTGCTGTCTCTTAAGTGTTACAGCACGCCAGTGACACACACGATTCCTGCTAAGATAGAAGTCTTTCAGGACACCGTTAAAAAAAGCCCAAACCAGCAAACGCCCAAACAGTGGACCATACAATTCTAGTCATAACTGCTTTTACATGCTTCCCTGTTCTCTTTATTTTCAGCATTTAAAATAGATACTGTGAAATAGATATCAAGCAGTCTCTATTTTATGGTACCGTAACATGTTTTGGTACAAGATACTATCTTCCCTTTGACTTTTACATATATCTGTATATTGGAAATATGTATTTAAAGTACTCTCATGGTGTCTTCGAGAACCAAGATAAGAGGGGTTTAGCTTACTGTTAAATAACTCATTATTTAACTCATGAGTTAAATAACTCATTTATGGTTGCCTGCAGTCTCTACTTAAATAGCTTCTTAATGGGATTACTTTGAAGATCCCTGTCTTGCAGGGTTTACTTGCAGTCCCAGGGTAGATGATGGAAGTGTTGCACTGTCCCTGTTAAGTATTTAGGAACCAAGTGGGACCCATGCTTCATGCCAGAAGATGTACAACCAGGCTAAGGCAATACCTTTCAACCTACTCGGACAGTAGTTGAAATCAATGGGAAGGGGATGCAACATATGAATATGAAGTTAATTCTATGTGTTATCATGCTGCAGTTGTTCTTACTCCAGCTGTTCAACGGAGCTCCTCTTCCTGCAATAGCTTCATTAACATTTTGTGAATGGAAAAATGTTGGAGAGACTGAAAAAAAACCCAAACAAACCCAAACGAACCCAACACCTTCCAGTTGAGGTGAAACATTAGAATAACGTGATACTATTTTTTTTTTTCAAACTCTTCCGTGCGTACTGGTTGGCTGAAGCCAGTATTTTCCTGTGAATTTAAAAAAAACCAAACCCACATCTTTATGAGAAGTATTTTGACTGGAGAATTCCAGACCTGCTGGATGAGAAAAGGATGGAGCTGGAGTTTTTAGTGCAGACAATTGACAAAGACTGAACTGCCACAAATAAACCCATTGTCAGTATCGATACTTAATTTTAACTGGATTCTATTGCTATCATTAGTTCAGTCTCATGCTTGTCCCCCTAAATTTTAGTTACCTAAACTTTCAGCATTTACTGCACATAGTTCTGAATCCAGAACGGGATTCAGTGCTGGAGAGGTGGCTGGGTTATGTGTTGCTGGCTTACGAGGGCATCCAGGACTTGTCATGCCTTAACAGCCATTGCTCGTAATGTTCTGCTGTGGCTGAATCTTTTTAAGGTGATGTTTTCATGGAATCATTTGATTGGAAAAGACCTTTAAGATCATTTGAGTCCAACTGTACCTGTCCTGTTTTGTTAATAGATACTAAATTCTATTAATGTTATCAGTGTATTTTTACCACATAATACTAATTGTATGTTCTCTTCATAGGCACATTTGGGCGCATTTTCCATGGGATTCTAATAGAAGAAAAAGACCCCAGTAAGGAGAAACAAGTTTTTGTCAAAACTGTTAAAGGTACGTTTACATAAAGGAGAGGTTTTTTGTGTCCAGTTGTTTGGATTGTGGTGGGTGCTGAGTGTATCAAGTCCGTCTTTAAAAACAAACCCCTCCTTCCCAAAATACGCAAATGGCTACTGCTTAAAAAGCAAAAGCAATTTGGATGCTGCCTTCAGCCAGAGGGAACACAAATCTTATATGGAAGAAAAATGCAGTAACTGAAGGCACTGGTGGAGAACACACGCATCTTGAATGCTTTTGCTTATTATTCTTCCAAGTAAAAAATATTTGGGTTTTTTTTTCCCCCCCTAGTGTGTTGTTGTTCTTTCCATCCACAACCTTTTTACCCTGCAAATTGCTGAAAAAGGCACCTGCAATGCATCTTACAAATCTTTTATAAGCATGCGTGGCTGTACAAAAGATAGGGCATAGTTAGGCCATCCTTAAACTTTGCTAATGAGAATTGTAATTTAGAACTTAATTCATACAAATACAGTATCTTTGTTCAAGAAATGTGTTGTTGGAGTGACTTAAATTGCGATAGGTAGACTTAAGAAACAAGGTAAGCATAGTTGGAAACAATATTTCCTATATCCTACGTATATATTACATATATCCTACATATATCCCTTCCTTCCTCTACACTCATCATTGTAAGACTTCTCTAGTGGCTCACAACAGTTTTGCTGAATTCCCTGTAAAGTAGTTGCTTTGCCAGTTATTTTTGTCATTCCGATTGCCTTTGGTTTTTCATTTTACAGCTTCTTTTAAAAAAAAAAAATAGGCTTCTATAAGAATTTAAACTTGTTTTAATTTTTTTTTGCCTGGCTAGTAATTTTTTAAAGATAGTAATTTTAAAGAGGAAGGTGGGAATTGGTGAAGCTGCTAAATTTTGCTGTATCTTTCTGGTACCCATTTATTCCATGCCATTTTTAAGAAAAATGTATTGCTTAAAGAAAGCAACCTTCTGTTATTCTTGATATATTTCTTACACAATCAGATGTGTGCTTGTGATGATAATTAAAAAAAACCCCAGTTTGGGTGGAAAGCCACTTAAGAAAAGATTCGTGCTTATTTCAATGGGAGAAGTTTCTTAAAGTCAACCTGGTTTGGAATAAAGGCAGCTGAAAAAGGGGTCCCTGCTTCTTGAAACAGTCAGATGCTGCAGTCTGGGGTGGATGCTGTTGCGTTCTTCAGCTGCACGTTGTTCCTGACATAGGCCTGGCAGGATGGTGTGCTTTTGTGGTGAAGGCAGGTTGGTGCCCGATACTGTACCTGCTCCTCTAACAAAATCCGTTGAACGTCAAAAGGTCCAACTTGTCAGTGCTACAAGCCAGGTACCAGCTGTGAGTAATCAACATAGGCAGTGTGAAATTAGCCTCCTCTCCTGGCTAACAATGCTGTGCCTCCTGATCTGCCTGGCGTGCCTGAACCGTCAGGTCCCTCCATTGCAACAGGATGGGCGCCAACAGTGAAACAGGACTTTGTGAGTGGCAGGAGGGTAACCTGTGAGTAAATCTGTCTCGGCACTGAGTCTGCCAGCAGAGCTTGATCTGCGTTCTGGGGCAAGCCCTTGTGTTTCTGCTAATGGAGGGCTGAGGATTTGCTGCTGTCACTTCTCCTGCTTTTTTCCTCGTGGGCGTTCCTAGATTCAGGGTGATGGTTGCTCTCGTACTCACAAATACTTCTGTTATTTCTTCAGGAGAGCCTCTGAGGTGGTACGCTTTCATTCTGTAGCATTTTTCCTCCGCATTGAGTCCAGAGAGGACTTCTGAAAACTAGATATGCCGGCCCTTTAGAAGATGTTGGTAGCTACTATTTAGCACAATGGTGGTGGCTAGAACTGTGTCTGCGGAAGTGGTCATAGCTGTAACAAAAGCAGTGGTCCTCTTGTAAAAAGGGAAGTATTTTCTTGTAGTGACTTCTAGCAAGAAGTAAAGGAGCATCCTCTAATTAATACTGCTTTGCAGTATTTTGGGAACTTCTCCCGAATTCTTCCCTCTTTTGTTGCCCCTCCCTGCCAAACAGTTCTGACTAACATTTTATTTTTATTTGATATACTTACCCCATATCACATGAGCCTGGTGCTCCTCTGTGTATGATGAGGCTGTCTAACTCGGGGCATCATTCACCATCGTTACCTTAACCCATGATCCCCTTCGCTGTGTTACTTGGTGGTTCTCTGCCCTGATTCAGAGTCAACAAATGCTACGGCCTTTATGAGCCCCCAGATTGTTGTGAGCTAGGGCAGTTCGACATCTGTCCAGCACTATTCAAGCATGCTTGCTTTTTATAGCATTGGATTAAATGACAGGATGACATCTGTGAGAACAGATCTTAATTTAACTGCCTCCCCTCACCGCTTGTCTAATTGCTTTACCAAAATGGGCCTTCCAATCCACTCTTAAAGCTGCATTTCTCCCTTGCAGTGCATCGTATCTTTGACACGGCATGCATCCTGATTTCTCTAGCCCTTCCCCTTGCGGGGAAAGATTTGCTGGCTGCAGTGAACTGGAGCATGGTCTTCAGGGAGTAATGGTATTCACATAATTGTCTGTAAAGAATTTCTCAGCTTTAAAAAGGATCTATATGGACAAAGTTTATAATAGATTTTGCTGATACTTGTCTGTGAAACAATACTGCTCTGGGCAAGCAGAACATTGCTAGGAAAATAACTATAAACATCCCTACTTCTCCTTACAGCAGTTAATTTGCAGTGCCAATATTAAGCAGCTTTGTCTTCGTACCCTGGCTGTGATAGCTATGCGTGCAGCTGGGTCATGTAATAAGTTGGGAATTTGATCTGCTTGGAAAAAAATAACCTGCAAAAATTCTCTCTTAACCAGACCTTTTCCTTGATCTTGTTCTTCCTGTGACCACACACACACTTGCTGTTTTGGCACAAATGCAGGAGTAGGGCAGGACCACAAAAACGAGGTGGGTATGAGAACTATTAAACTGACTGAAGTCTTTCTTGCTGAAGGCAAGAAAGGAGCCTGAGGGTCATGGAAAAGAAACAAAGGAAAAGGCTTTGTCTGTAGCTAAATTATCCCACCCAAAGTATTGGCTGCTACAGAACTTGTTTCACGCAGTGGTGTGCTCTGATAAAATAAAGTCCAGGGGTACCCCGAATGACAGAAAATAATGGGGAGGGGATGTGGGGTGTTCCACATCTTCTGAAAAACGTGAACTGAAATTGTTTCAGCAGGTGCTGTGAGGAAGAATAACCTTCTTGAGAGGAAAAACCTCTTCTAAGCAGGGTTAGAGCTTGAGAAGCTTAAGACATTGCATTGGCTGTTTTGATATTAGGGTAGTTGCTACGGCTTTGAACCTGGAACTGCCAATAGAAGAAACCCTTTGGAAGGAGAACACCTGAACATGGCAAATACGATTGGTATCCTTGTGTTCAAACTGGAACTTTTGTATTAGAATCATAGAATCATCATCGTTTGCGTCAGAAGGGACCTTTAAAGGTCCTATCTAGTCCAGCCCCACTGCCATGGGCAGGGACATCTTTCACCAGACCAGGTTGCTCAAAGTCCTGTCCAACCTGACCATGAGCACTTCCAATGACGGGGCATCCACAGCTTCTCTGGGCAACCTGCTCCAGGGCCTCACCACCCTCACTGTAAAAAAAAAAAAAAAAAAAAAATTCTTCTTTATCTCTGATCTAAATCTGCCCTCTTTCAGTTTAAAACTGTTGCCCCTTGTCCTGTCACTACAGGCCACGATAAAAATCTCTCTCAGTCTTTCTTATAAGCCCCCTTTAAGTATTGAAAGGCCACAATAAGATCTCCTGGGAGTATTTTCTTCTCCAGGCTGAACAACCTCAACCCTCTCAGCCTTTCTTCATAGGAGAGGTGTTGCAGCCTTCAGATAATTTTCACAGCCCTGTTGACCTGCTCTAACAGGTCTTTGTTTTTCTTGTGCTGGGGACCCTAGGGCTGGACGCAGAGCTCCGGGTGGGTTTTCATGAGAGTAGAGAGGGTGAATCACCTCTCTCAACCTGGGAGCTTTGTCTAGATGTTACCTTACTGGGTGCAGTTGTCTACTGTGTCACTGGATATAAGCCGTCACCCCTTCAGAGTAACACCAGTGTAGAGGCAAGTACAAGTGGTTTTGGGGTGTTCCTATTGCAAGCTATGTTGATCATAGCAAGTTTGCATTGTGCGGAGTGCTAAAGCTAGTGGATTAAGTGATTAGCCACTAGACATGCCCCAAAAAGCTCAACAAATGGTATAGATGGGACTGGAAGGCTTCCTTGAGCCATGGGCAGCTCATGTATGTTGGCTTTCAGAAGACCTTGGCTGTACTAGGAAAGGTGTCAAAGAAAGGTTATTGTGCCAGTCAAGTAATGGTTTCTAAATGCTTCTTTTTAAGAAAACCTGTGAAGAAAGGTTGTGCCATAGATACAGCAGCAGGTGCGTATCATAATGGGTCTCTTCTTCCTTGTGTTCCTTCTTTATGAGGACGGAGCCAGACTCTTCTCAGTGGTGCCCAGCACCGGCACAAGGGGCAATGGGCACAAACTGAAGCATGAGAGGTTCCAGTTGAATGTGAGGACGAACTTCTTGACTTGGAGGGTGACCGAGCCCTGGCACAGGCTGCCCAGGGGGGCTGTGGAGCCTCCATCTCTGGAGATATTCAACCCCCGCCTGGCCGCTGTCCTGTGCACCCTGCTCTGGGTGAGCCTGCTTGACCCAGGGGGTTGGACTGGGTGATCTGCGGAGGGCCCTTCCAACCCCAGCCCTTCTGGGATTCTGGTATTCACATTAGTGCATTTATAAGATCCATAACCTTTCAGAATGGGTTACTTCCTAATAATGTGGACAGAGGAGAGCAGGCTGTCAGTTTTCTCATTTCATATTGTGGAGAAGATAAACATTGTGGCTGATGTGCTCATCGGGCAATAGTTAGATCTGTGAGTATTTCCTGCTCTGAGAGGGCTGTGTTTGCAGCCTCTGTCAGTTTGCCTCTTCCCTGTCTTTTTCCCTTGTCCTGGGGTTGATCCTTTTCCA